CGGGCGCAGCGTTTAGGGTTTGGGGTTTAGGGCCTCTGGTCAAGGTTGTGTGGTTGTAGTAGGTATATACGGGTCCCAGACTTAAGGGCTCCTACCTAAACCCTCAACCTTAAAATCCAAACCCTGAACGAAAAGAGGTGCAGCAAGAAACCTTATTCCCTAAACTCTACACCCTAAACCCTAAACCCTAAAACCCTAAAACCCTAAACCCTAAACCCTAAACCCTAAACCCCAAATACTAGGGGCCCATAGTTGGAAACCTTCGACTCGGCTGCAGAGGCGTTAATCTGGAGGGCGGAGAATCCGATGGCGTCGACGCCGAACCACCTGAGAAGCTTTGGCAGTTTAGGGTTTAGGGTTTAGAGTTTAGGGTTTTAGGGTTTAGGGTTTTAGGGTTTAAGGTTTTAGGGTTTTAGGGTTTAGGGTTTAGGGTTTTGGGTTTAGAGTATGGGGCTGGGTGTGGATTACTTAAGGTTTTCTTAGGCAGTTTATACAGATTATTTTACAGGCCTTTTTTGGGGGTTTAAGATTTAGGATTATCTCGGGCTTCAGGAGAGGAAACACAGGTTGGGTTTGGGCTTTCTGAACCCCAAACCTTAAAACCCTTATGCCCTAAACCTAAGCCCTAAAACCCTAAACCCTAAGACCTTAAAACCCTAGGCCTTAAACCATAAAACCCAAAACCCTTAAACCCTAGGCCCTAAACCCTAGACCCTCAATCCCTAAACCCTAAAACCCTAAGCCCTAAACCCCAAAACCCTAAAACCCTAGGCCCTAAACCCCAAAACCTAAAACCTAAAACCCTAAAACCCTAAGCCCTAAACCCTAAAACCCTAAAACCCTAAACTCTAAAGGCGTAAACCCTAAAACCCTACACCCCAACCCTTGTGTTTAAGAGGTTGAGACTTGAGGGAGGTCGCACGACTTAGGGTTGGGGGTTCAGGGTTGGCAGTTTAGGTTCTAGGGTGTAGGATATAGGGATTAGGATTTAGGGATTAGGGTGTAGGATGCAGAATCCACTGTTAAGGGTTTCAGGTTTGGGTTTTGCTGGGGGGTTTTGCTGGTAGGGCGGTTCGCTGTCTGCAGGGTTTTGCAGGGTTGCGAGATGACGTTTGGGGGTTCACCCTAAACCGTAAACCCTAAACCCCAAGGGAAGGTTATGGCTCGGTGTCGATTCTAAGGGCCCAGGGATCTGAGAAAGGGTCCATGTAGGTATAGTCTGCCCCAGACTATTGTTGATGGAGGAAATCTTGCACCACCTAAAGTCCCTAAAGTCACAGGAACTACAGTAGTTTAGGGCCCTTGGGTGGTGCAAGATTTCATACCTGAACAGTAGCATGGAATATCTCAGAATGGATTTGTGAAAGCTATTCAATCGTCTAGAGCTCAGGTCATCCACTGCAGGAGAGTTACCTAAACCGTAAACCCAGAACCCTAAACTCTAAACCCTTGAACTAGCTGAAGGTGGGTTTGTTCCCCCATAAAAGCCGTACATAGCCCTTACGTATCTCCTAGCCTCCTTCTACAAGCATTAAATCCTAAACCCTATTCATCCGTATGAAGGGCTCTAATTGGTTTAGGGTAGGGTTTATCACGTAGGGTTTAGGGCTTAGGGTTTAGGGCTTAGGCTAGGAGAGCTGTTGTCACAACTTTCATAGGCTTAGGGCTTAGAGTTGCAAGCCTCTGACTCTATACCAAACACTGTTCCTTGATGCCTTAACCCCGTGCGTTAGACCCAAAACCTTACATCCTTATCTTCTAAGCCTTCAGCCCCTAAACCCTAAATCCCTAAACCCTAAACCCTAAACCCTAAATCCCAAACCCTAAGCCGCAAATCTCAAAGTGCAAACCCATGAATCCCTTAGCCCTAAACCCTAAATCCCTAAACCCTCAACCTTAGCCCTAAATCCCTAAACCCTAAACCCTAAATCCCTAAACCCTAAACCCTGAGCCCCTAAATCCCCAACCCTCAACCCTATGCTAAATACTAGGCCTTAAGCTGCAAAGCCTCACCCTCAAGCTGCTCAGGGCTGTTAACAGCCCTTTGGGGCGTCCTGACCCTGATCCCCTTCGTCTTCTACTGCGGAGGCAGCCAGGAGGTTTAGAGTTTCGTGGGTTTAGGGTTTAGGGTTTTGGGGGTTTAGGTTTTAGAGGTTGGTGGGCGGTCTAGGGTTCAGGCTTTCGGTTTTTTTTGGGGGGGTAAGGGTTCAAAGTTGAAGGGTGTAAGGGCTTTGGACTCAGGGCTTCGGGATTTAGGCTCTGGGTGCCCTGGATGTATTTCAGAACTCCTAGAATGATTTACTTGCAAGACCTACTCCTTGATCGAAGGGTCTTGAGGTCTTTACTTGCCCTTAGCCGCAAGCTCAAAAACACCCTGAAATTTCAAGGTAGGCTTCGAAGCCCTGAAACCTTACACCGCAAACCCTAAACACCCTACACCCTAAGCCCTAGGGGTTTGGGGTTTAGGGTTTACGTGTTTGGGGTTTGAGGG